CAGGCCACTGCACTCCAGCCTGGTCAACAAAGGAAGACTCTTTCTAAAATAAATAAATAAACAACTAACTAAATAAATAAAGGGTACTATTCAATGGTGTTTTTGGTACATAATATATTTTCAAAATTGTGGTTAAAAAGAGATAACAGAAAATTTGCCATTTTAGCTACTTTTGAGTGTATGAGTCAGCGGGATTCACTGCATTCATAGTGTTGTGAAACTGGATATCCACGTGCAAAACAATGGAGCTGGATCACTACTCCAAACACAAATTAACTCAGCATGGATCCCTGATATCTTTTTGTCACTTCGAATTTTGGGGAGCTGATGTACTATGTAATTTAAAAAATTAGATTAGCACAGTGAGGTGTGCCTGTCGTCCAGCTACTTGGGAGGCTGAGGTGGGAGGATTGCTTGAGCCCTGGAGCTAGTGGGGCTGCAATGAGCTAGGGTAGTACCATTGTACTCCAGCCTGGGTGATAGTAGACACTGTCTCTTCAAATTTTTTTTGGGAGATAAAAAAAAAAAAAAGACAAGCAAGCGGTTCCTAAGGAATCACAGCCCTTATGGACTGCTTCATTTAACATCTTGCTTCCGTGCCCCTGGTTCCATCCCACGTGGCAACAGTACACCTGAAACCTGTCTCCTTGATTTCCACAGGAGGCCCCATTGCACACAGCCAGTGCAGGTGCAATAAATAAGCTTTAATGAGGTTCTGGAGGCTGGAAACGGACGAGGATCTTACGTGCCACCAAAGCAACCAATGTCCCTTCGTCTCCCCAACTCTGTAAGGTCCTATTGGCCTCGTCACCCCTTGAATCCCTTGCCCCCGCCATTCTGCCGGTTCTGGTCTCTTCCCCACACTTCCCTGTTCCCCACTCCTCCATCTCTGTCCAGAGCAAATGCTATGTCCCGCTTATTTTCTCTTGCAGAGCAGCTCAAGCTTTGCTTTCTCATTTAGCATCTTGGCCCAAGGTCTTTTCTCCCTCATTCTATTTTCCTAGACAGTTTTCTTTATAAGAGGAATTCTGGTGCCTGCCCTCAAGATCATAGAACTTTTTTTTTTTTTTTTTTTTTTTTTTTTT